TTTTATCACCTGCATTTCTTAAGGCTGCTGAAGATTTGTGTGGGTAAAGCTTGAAACAATTCAGTAAAATATCTTATATATTATTTGCGGAGTTTAATCCGTTTAATTAAGCAGCAAAACAATGGAAAGGTGATTTAATACTGGCCTGTGCGTGCAAAAGAAAGCAGTGGGTATCAAAGGGACCGTTCATCAAGTGCAGCAAAGCAGAACTTGCACCAAGGTCCTAAATGAGAAGCCAAACAATTTTGAGTGAGCAATTATGCATGCAATTTAATAGAAAAAGATATAAACTGCTTGCACGATCTATTGAGGGAATGGTTGATTCTGCAGTTTTAAGCAGATAAGACGACAAAACTAAATGCAGGTTACTTTTCTTAAAGAAAAAAAGAACTATACATACATCTTCAGATAAAGTATAGGGGTAGCTGGCCTTCATTAAACAAAACATCAAAGTAGATGTTCTCATGGTCCCTCCTGACCTTAAACCACTGGAACAGGCTGCCCAGGGAGGTGGTGGAGTCTCCTTCTCTGGAGATGTTCAAGACCTGCCTGGATGCCGACCTGTGCGACCTGCTTTAGGGAACCTGCTTTGGCAGGGGGGTTGGACTCGATCTCTGGAGGTCCCTTCCAACCCCTACAATTCTGTGATTCTGTGAATCGAATCCCTGAAGAAACAGACTGCTTTTTCTGTAAATAAAACTGCAGGATGACTTCTGGTTTCCAGCCAGTTCTAAATACGCTTTAAATTGTTCGGAGTTCTGCCTGTTTTTCCCATTCTGCCTTGAGTATTTCAAGCAGGTCAGTACAAGTATTGATAAAACATATTTCCCACCAAAAAGGAGATTGTTTGGTCAATAATTTCCATTGGCATTCATATATTTTTACATGCTTACGACAAACTTTACAGAGTACTGGGCTGTTCTCAGCGTTTCCTGGTGCAAACCAGAACACTCTGTCATCAAGATGTCCATACAATTTTGTTTTGTATTCTTTTCCTTGCCTATACGTAATGTTTTGTGAGTAATCAATGAATCAAATTGATGTATGAAGTGGTCATTTCTTGCAGCCTTTACCTCCAGAAAGTTACATCACCACCATCTGCTGAGGCTTCTCACTCCTGTAGCACATGATGGGACCCTATGAACGTGGGGCAGTTTCTCACCACAGCACTGCACACAGTCATGTTTTCTGCATTCCTCCATTGCTACATGATACTTGAGCTTAGCAGACAATTGCATGGAAAAAACAGCATTTACGTAAACGCTGGACCAGATCCAAAGCACATTAAAGAAAATGGAGAATTTTGATTGAGCTAATGGAACAGGACCTCTAGAACCTGGATTTCCCACAGGTCCCCAGGGTACATCTCCATCCTTCCCACCATTTTTGGTGGGACTGACTCTGCAAAGAGGTGCTGAGCAAAGCCCTGGAGTCTCAGCTGAGGTGCCCAGGAGGAAGGCACAACAGCAGCCCATGGGAAGGCACTGGGCTGCCTCCACGTGCCTTGAACCTCTCCCCACAGCTCACACCCACAGAGCAAAAACCAGAAGAAACAACATCCATCGGCCGGTCATCTGGCCAGCAAGGGCAAGGATGCGGTGCTTGGGTTATTCATTTTTATTTTTGGCAATAAGACCACATACATGTTGACTTATCTCACTGGGGAACTCCAACTTGGCAACACAAAGGACGCAGTGGTGTCTCCTAATGAAAAGCATACTCTCTGCTGCGACCTACAGGCCACAGATGTATCCTGCCATGGGATGCCTTTTCTGGGGCAAGGCTTTCTGCTTTTTGGTTTTACTCCACGCTGTATTGAACTGCTCCATTACAACCAGTAACTGTGAAAGGAAAACTAAGCACGTTCTGTTTTCAAAACCTTTTAAAACCTAAAGCATACCAACATACTTCCATCTCCCACCAGGGCACTTACAGCTGCTCCCTTGACATGTCCAGCACTTCAAGTCCAAAACCAAATCCACCTTACCTCCTCCATGCTTTGTTTTGGATACATTCGAAACAAGCACACAGCAGAGTCCCTCAGAACTGCACACTTTGTACCAACATTCCTCCAAACAATGGGCAGGTTGTGACAGGACAAGAAATAGTTTCAAACTAGGAGGGCAGATTCAGGCTGGGTATAAGAAAGACAATAAGGGCAGTGAGGCAGTGGCATAGGGTGCCCCATCCCTGCAGACACCCATGGTCACGAGATGGGATCTGAGCACGCAAGGGAGCTGTGGGCTCCCTGCCCATTGCAAAGCATGGGACAGATGGCTTTTAAAGGTCCCTTCCAACTCAAACAATTTAATGATTCTATGACTCTAATGAAAACATTAGGGGTAGATAACAGCAGGACAAGGGGAAATGGTTTGAAGTTGAGGGAGGGAAGATTTCAGTTGGATGTGAGGGGGAAGTTCTTTACTGTGAGGTGCTGGAACAGCTGCCCAGAGAGGCTGCGGATGCCCCATCCTTGGAGGTGTTGAAGGCCAGGTTGGATGGGGCCCTGGGCAGCCTGGTCTAGATTTAAATGGGGAGGTTGGTGGCCCTGCATATGGCAGGGGGTTGGAGATTCATGGTCCTTGAGGTCCCTTCCAACCCTGGCCATTCTGTGAGTCTGTGACTCAGGGACGAACAAGACATGAAGTGTCAATATGGAGCAGCCTCAGGCACTTTGGTTAAATTTCCCTCCAACTGTCGGCTTTGAGAGCCTAATTAGTCAAATAGCCAAGCTTGTATTTCAGTCCTATACTACAGGGAGTTCACAGCACTTCGGTTTCATTGACAGCCATCAAAATTCACTCCACGTTCCTCATCAAAACACCAATAGTAATTATGGGAAAAATCAGCCAGGGAACCCAGGAGGAGGCAGAGGCTTGCCTGGCTAGCAGAGCTGTCTCAGCACCCATCCTTCCCTTTGCATTTTCTTCCTGCTTAGGGATGGTGGTAACCACCAAAGCTACAAAGAAAAACACTCCGCAAAATAATAAATCACCTGGAGGACAGGTACAATTTGGGCTCAGAAGCCATGCTTTACTGGTGTCTCAGCACTCATTTGTCACTCATTTGTCCTCCGTGCCTCAGAACATCCTCCCCGCATCCGAGCACTTCGTGTGCTGTCAATGATTGGCTCCAATCACTCCCATTTCCAAATAACTGCACGGCCCAGCACCTAACAGCGAGCTCAGAAAGCAGCAGAGTTTGTAAATCATTCACAGATCAAACAGAGCAGAAAGCCTGGGGAAGCGCAGTTTGAACTGCCGTCATATACTTAACAACATCGCCGCAAAATGTTGATGTGTGGAAATCAATAGGATCTGACAGGCTAAGTATCACTCTGCAGTCCAAACACAAGTTTAACTAACTTCACAAATGTCACCTGGGCCGGATGAAGATGGAAACTGGGCTTTTCCTTCATCAAGGGAAGGAAACTACCATTTTGTGCTCTGTGATCATACACAGGTTTCATCTCCCAGATGCTGTGCTACCCCCTCCGCATCTCCCCTGTCCAGGAAACAGCAATGGTGCCAGCTCTCCAAAGGAAGCCAGGACACACAGCAAGCCTCCCCAGAGCCCTGCAGAGAGCAGCGTGATGGGGCACGCACAGAACTGAGTCAGCACCCTGCAGCCATCAATCTCAGCCATCGCACAACGCCTTTCCATTTATTCCATCTGATCCTTTGCACTGATTTTGTAATGGAGTAATTTTAAAAGCACAGTTACCTCCTCCAAAGGAGTACAGGACTTCATGGGGACGGTAGTGCTGGCTCACACCTTTTCTATCTTGAGTCTTCTGATTTTTCATAGCAAGCCTCAGCTGAAGGAGCATGCAATAACATGGGGATCTCAGCTAGCCCTGCTCTTTAATTCCTATTAACAGCAATTTTCTAGGCTTTATGATTGTACTATAGGCCCAGAAATCAGAACACAAAGCAGAAAGGGTCTAATTTACTCAATTTTTCCATGATTTTTGAGAACTCTATGCAATTCATTAAAGTCTGAAGGGAAATATGACATACTCTTACAGTTCCCAAGCTGAGTTTCCCCTCTGCCTTTCAGGGCGTCCATCTGCAGCATCACTGCTCTTCAAAACAGAAAGGCTAGCAAATAAATTGGGCAGGAGAAAGGAGCGTTTAATCCTCTGCATTCAGAAAGGTTTTTTGCTAAATTCTACTGTGGCCAAACCACGCTGCTGCCAGGGCCAGCATCTCCCTATAGCTGAGCTCAAAGGACAACCAGGTTTAGCCCTGCAGAGGCGAGTGGCTATCACTCAGAGATGGGCAGAGAGGATCTGCTTCAAAAACAAGAACAAAGTGACTGCAGCTTGTAAGGGAAATCCTCTGCCCAAAGCATCGGGCAAAGCATCCTCAGGGTGCTGCTGTCTCACTGAGCCGCCACCGGTTGGCAGCCACAAGGAGGCCTGTTGTTCTTGGCACCTTTCTGAGAGCCTCACCTACTGAAAGCATTTAATTAACTGAGAATTTCAACCTTCACAACAAGCAAAGCAAAACAAGAAGTGACTGTTGAGCTCTGATGACTTTGGAGAAAAGCTCAAAAGCGTGACCCTGCCATCTCTCGAAGGCAAGAAGAACGGTTACAAGACTTCGTGTTCTGTTTTTAGATACATGACTCCCAAAGCCAAACTCCTATTTTTAGAGGACCTGACATCACTTTTGCATGGGAGGAGGCATTAACAGCTTAGTTGGGCATTATCTTTGGGAGAAAAATCATTTACCAGATATTAGCTCTCTCTAGATAGTAATGGGCCAGTGAAGAAAAATGTGTTTTGCTTAAGTGTTCATTACCATGGCGGGTTTCACTTGCTCTAAAACAACTTGCATATTAAGTAGCAATAATGGAAACCTCATTAAGGGCTGTGCATATGTATGGCACTGACAGGACACATAGGGAAACAGAAGCTTGCAATTTTAAGCTGTTCCCAACCTTCTCTGCTGGTGAGCCCACCCGGCCAAACCCCTCATCCCTATGGAGGCACTCACTGCTGCTGGATGCGATCCTTCACAGCCTGACTTCATCTATCCTCTCTTTTTCCAAGAGCTATTTGCACATCATTCCATATGTCAAAGGGTACATTGCTCCACGTGCAAAACAGGATGAGGAGACTGGGCTCTGAATGAAAAAAAAATAATAAACCAAGGTTCAGTGTATCAGTAATCAGGCCCAAATCAATAATGGAGGAATTTCAGCCACAGCTGTATGATGTGTTGTGTACTTCATGCTTCTAAACAACAAATATTGGTATTTCCTGCAATGTATAATACAAGGGAACTACAGTTTCTTTCAAGCATGCATTTTTATAAAGTTAAAGGAATAAAAATTCTGACCTTGAAGCAGTGCCATACTAACATTAATAAAGCACAGAATGCCTACGATCCAGTTTATCATTATGACTCAGATGAGATTAGCTAATCAAGCAGCTTAACTCCCAAGCAACTATATACTGCTATTGTTTGTGGTTCTGCCAGAGAAGCCTCAAAAAGGATGAAAACCACAATTAAGGATTTATTTACATTTTTCTTTAAATATCAGCAGCATTATATTATGGACAATGCCCTTAATCATCTGCTCCAGGGTTTATAATGCACTACCTGCTCGTAAATTCCAAGCACTGATTTATTCTCTGACAAGGCACTGCTGGTTTTAAGTGTGAGCCCACGGAGCCCAATCTAACTTTGCTTCCAGTGGAGAATTGATGGCTCTGAGAACTCCAGTACTTTCCCAGTCTCTGGCAATCACATCAGAGAACTCACAGCTTCATTTCCAAACCAAAAACCAGGTTAAATTGACAGCTTATAGCCAGTCTGTGGGGAGCAGAGGTGGGTACTCTTCTACAAGGAGCAGATCTGCTCCTCTGATGGCTTGATACCTGGTCTGAAATCTGTGTTGGACTCGATGATCTTTATGGGTCCCTTCCATTCCAACTTGGGGTACCCTATGATCAGAGCAGAGGAAACACCTTCTCCCCTAACTTTCACGTAGATAAAGGAAACATGAAGCTACAATGGCACACCTGAGGAGATCCATCAGTTTGCCATTCCTAACATTCCTCTCCTTCCCCTCTTCCAGCCTGCCTTCAGCCTAACGCAGGCTCCAGCCTGCACCTTGGCTCTTTCCTCTGAGAGGGGAGGGAGGGAGGCAAGGCACCAGGATGGCAGCTAACACTTACAGCCCGACCCTTATTTCAGTCATCTCCTCCAAGAAGGAAAAGCTGGACAGACTGACTCAGTCATCCCATCTTGCCAAAGCAGGAATCTACTCTGTGATACTTCCTTAAGTGCTTCTGTCCAGTATTTACATTTAAACGATTCAAGTAATGGGGATTTCATGATTTACCAGCTTTGTTGTTTGGAAAAACACTCTGGCAGCCAGCTGGCATTTCCTCAGCTTGTTCTCATGCCATCCCTACCCTCAGTACTTCTTTCCACCACCCAGCACATTTCCTGGGCCACTGGAGCAGATTCCCTGTCCTCACTGCGCTGCCTTCAGCAAGGCATAGAACCAGGAAAAGGCTGACCTGCCTAAAACACAGTGATAGTTCTCCTCTTTAAAGATCTACAAGATCTTGGGAGCATCTGCTCCTTGGTCACTGACTGCAGTCTCAGCACAAGCTGGTGATCTCACACCATGTACCCCAGCCTGGGGATATCTCCCATGTCACTACTGGCAGCTCAGCTCTGCCCCTTCCTTGAGCTTTATTTGATCCACACGTGCTTCTTCTGAGCACCCCTCCCTTCACAGCCCTCCCACCCAAACTGACATCCCTCCCATCTGTCCAAGGGAGCTTTTGTTCCCCCAGCCCACTCCATAGAAACGAGGCCCTCTGCAAATCGCAGACCATCCTTTCCATTACATTTCTATAGCAATGCTGGCACATTGGTTCCACTCATCCTTGGTTAATAGTTCAGCTTATATTCAAACAGCCATTAGCATAAAAATCAACACAGCAATTTCGTATGAATTCTCATATCATTAATCCATTTAGAGTGGATACACAGTTCACACTCCAAATTCACTTAATTATTGACTTCATAACATTTAAAGAGGCCATGGTCTTTGGCTCTGTTGGAATGCCATTTCCCCCCCCCTTCCCTTGCTTTTTTGCCAACAGAAGTTGATTTTGCAAGGTTTGGGTAATGCTTGGAGATGGTGGGGATCTCTCATGCATCTCTCTGAGAGATCCCCACACAATCACAGGTTCACTCTCATGAGAAATAACCTTCCAGATCTCTGGCTGCTCACTTGGTGTATTTGGGGAAAGAGGCAAAACAAATACAGACAGCATAAAGCAGATGCCATTCACCCAAAGCACTCCACAGGGTCGGCCCTGAGCATCCCAGCCCCAGACATCCCTGGTCTCCTTCCAGCCTCCCTTTGTCCTGCTCCAGCTGTACACACGAGCCCTGCAAAGGATGGACGTAATTACCTCTACATCCACCAATTAGCTCTAGCACAAACAGTGGAAATCACCATGATTTCCAAACACCACACACAAAGTTAATAACTGCACCAAAACTGTTGAAGAGAACTTTGATTTTCCTACACCGTTTAATTCAACATTTTTCTTTTTGTCTCTTCCCCAGCCCTCTGTTCTCTCATTGTCCACGGGGAATGATGTTGTTTGCACTTCAGCTGCTGTTATTGGGAAAAGCAATCGACAAGCAGCTGGCCTTGCATTTCGCTTTGAAAAACAGCAAGTTTGGACTCGCCCGAATCATTGCATAATTTGTGCTGCTGCTGGAGGCCTTTCCCAGAGGTTTGTCTTTTTTCCAGTGCAATTTGGTGGCACAGTCATGGATGCTGAGAGGAGCAGAGAAGCATCCAGAAGCTCAGGGCAAATGCAATGTGCAGCAGCATCCCGTCAGCCTCCTGCCATGCATCCCTCTGCCAGGGCCTGGAGCACAGAGGAGGATGCTGAGCACACCAGGCAGTGCTGTGCTGGAGCCCACCTTGCCATCGTGCCAGGCAGGGCTATTGGACCCATGTAAGCTCATGTTGGGAATGCTGTTTGGAAAGTTTGGGGTGGATCAAGTTGTTTTCAATTATTGTGGTAACACATTTCATCAGCTTAAAGCCACATGTTTGCCCCAGGTATGTTGCAAGCCAGATCTTTCATATGAATATATCCTAAATACAGTTCTACCTCTCCAAGTGATCGTAACAAGCACAGCACCCCTACTGCCTGCAGAACAGTTGTGGCAGTATGTTGGCAGGAAACATCCGCTATAATAGACACTGCTGGAGACTGACTGCACCAGCACAAAGCTTTCTGCTGGAGAAAGAGCACAGGAGCCAAAGAGGCCACTCTGCCTTCCACAGGGAAACGAGTGCTTGGAGGATTTATCAATGGGCTCGAGCCCAGATTTAATAACACATCTTACCACAGATGTCAGCAAAAGCAGATTCAGATGCGCGGCGCTGCAGGATGCTTTTATTCAGATGTTGTAGTAAAGAGGAGAACATCCCAGAATAGACAATAACCGCGCTGTGTGTGGTTTCTCCTCAACTGGGCTTCAGAGTGTTTCCCCACCTCTTTACCACACAACACCAATCCCTCTCAATTTATGCACATAGGGAATTTTGAGGGAGCAGTGCTTTCTTGGGAGTGCCCTTGAAAGAGCAGGCAGATGCTCAACACAATGAGGTACAGCTTTGCACCCATCGCATTTTGCTTGCTAGCTGCTCCAAGAATAAAAGTTTCCCATTTGGGATTTGAGAATCTACCCAGGCCATGAAAAGCACTCCTTTGTTTCAAAAAGTCCACCATTGCATCTGCTTAATTTATAAGGTGACACCATAATCCTACTTCTACTGCAAAACACAATAAGAACCATTTCAAAAGGAGTCAAAGCTGCCCCTGAAATGCTCTGTGACATTTCACAAATATTACCAAACTTCTCCCTACTCTAAATTTGACACAGATTTTTCTTAACATTCCGTTTAGAAAACAGCCCTCATAAGCAACAGTTTCTCTGCACAAGGTCCATGCCTGGTTTGGGCAGTACACCAACCACCTCCCACCCCAGGCATGCACATACAGCCTGCATCCCTTCTTGCAGCCCACAGGGAGATGAAGCAGTTTTTCATTCATCCATCCCTACAGCAGGGATCACACCTCGTGGCAATTTGAAGAGTATGGTGGAACAAGAGGAATTTCTCCAAGCCACGCCACCCAACCACGCATGGAGCCACAGGTCAGACACAGCACACGGCCGGGAAGGCTGCAGCTCCACGTGGGTTTGTCTCAGCCCTGCAGCAACTGGGCTCCATGTGGCACACACAGCACTGAACAGAGCAGCACCTCCTTAACCAAAACGGCTGTCTTTCCACCTAGCATTTAGGATTTAAAAAAAAACACAGCACAGGAGCAGGCTGGGCTGCAGAGCACTCAATTTGCCCAACAAGTCTGCATCAGACAAATCCCCTGAGGAGTGGGTTAGCACACAGGCAGGGCTGGGTGCGAGCAGCCCTGCCAACACTGCTGCGGATCCTCAGATGCCAAAGCTGGGACTTGTCCAGACAAACCATGCTGCTGAGCTCCAGCCTTTGGCCAGAGCAAAGCCAGCAGCTGGAGTGGAAAAATACCTCTTTCCCACATGCAGCCATTCACTCCCACCAGCATGTTTGCTCACACACACACTCTGAAATCAGGATAATCCTGAAATAGGGTTGAAGTTGGTTCTCATTTACACTAGAAGAAATTCTCCTACTTCACTGTTCTTTGCCTTGCTACACAAGTTAGTATAAATGAGTGTGGAGGGCTGCCCAGCTTTGGGAGATTCACCTCATGCTTCCTGTTGGGCCCCTCACCACCCTCATAAATAAGTACTAAAATGTGGTCATTTTTCCCCACAATAAATCACATTCTAATCGAGGCTGGAGAAGTGCCATTAAGTATTTTCTCCATCTTACTGGGCCCAGGTTTTTCTGTGGGGGCTTTGTTAGAGGGTACATTTTAAAGTTAGCAGATCCCCAAAGTGGCACAGACACTAAATTTAATTTAGGAGAGAAAGGAATTAATGATGGTATATTTTGGGTTCTCCAGCTACTTCTTTGGGTATCCACCAGCAAGACCGAGCCAGCAGCAGCACCCAGCTCCAACACTGCCATTT